GACAGGAAGTGATACCTCAAAAATAAACAGGGGTTTCTGATTACTTTGACAGCCAATCACAGCGGTCACATGCAGGCATCCAGTGTTGGAACCCCTAAAAGGAAGAAAGTTGCAAAACAGATTTGCTGGCTAGCTCAGTAGATGATAAAACTCTTACAGGGGTGACTCTGCAAAACAAAAACTTCAATTTGGAGACTACGTTTTTGTTTTTGCCCCTGAGGTGGCTGGTGACAACCAAAAGTGAATTTCCCCTCACTTCCTGTTGCATCTCCAGCACAGGAAGTGAAATCTCTGCACCCAGCAAAAATAAGTTTCTGGGCTCCTGATCACATGATCACTGTGAAAGCCAATCACTGCGGCGACATGAGTGGGAGCCACAAGTGGATTTCCCCACACTTCTTGTTGCATCTCCAGCACAGGAAGTGAAGTGAAACCTCAAAAATAAATGGATGGGCTCCTGATCACATGATCACTGTGAAAGCCAATCACTGCGGCAACATGAGTGGGAGCCACAAGTGGATTTCCCCACACTTCACTTCCTACTCTGGATCTGCAACAGGAAGTGGGGAAATCCACTTGTGGCTCCCACTCATGTCACCGCAGTGATTGGCTTTCACAGTGATCATGTGATCAGGAGCCCATCCATATATTTTTGCTGGGTGCAGAGATTTCACTTCACTTCCTGTTCTGGAGCTGCAACAGGAAGTGAAACCTTCCACAGTGATCACATGATCACTGTGGTGACATGAGTGGGAGCCACAAGTGGATTTCCCCCACACTTCTTGTTGCATCTCCAGCACAGGAAGTGAAGTGAAACCTCAAAAATAAATGGATGGGCTCCTGATCACATGATCACTGTGGAAGCCAATCACTGCGGTGACATGAGTGGGAGCCACAGGTGGATTTTTTCCTCACTTCCTGTTGCAGAGCCAGGGCAGGAAGTGAAACCTCAAAAATAAATGGAGGGGTTTCTGATCACTTTGATAGCCAATCACAGCTGTCACAGGAGTGGGAGCCTGCCGACAGCCATCCAGTGTTAGGAACCCCTCGTCGTAGGCAGGAGTTAAAAGAAAATTGTAAAACAGACTTGCTGGCAGGATCAATGGGTAATAACTCTTCCGGGCAAGACTCTGCTAAACAAAAACTGCTGGTAGGACGCAACATTTTGGATTTTGCCCGGAGTTCTGCTTTGGGAGCCACTGAGGTGGCTGGTGACAACACATTGGATTTCTCCTCACTTCCTGTTGCATCTCCAGGACAAGAAGTGGAGTGAAATCTCTGCACCCAGCAAAAATAAATGGGTGTGTTTTTCACCCTTCCCTACGCTTTCCAAACCTTAAAAAAAAAAAAAGTTTGGGCAATCTGTTCAGCGCCGTTGGCCTTATGTTCATCCATCTATTTAGTCCCCCCCCCCCCCCCCCCCCCCCCCTTTCCACCTCGCATCCCAGCCCCCCCCCCCCTGAAAGACAGGTCAGTCATTACCGGAGTACATGATGAACTCCGCCGTGTTCTGTACAGGACAGTCAGTCAGGATTGGTCCACTTATTCCCTAGGTCACGGGTGTCAAACTGGTGGCCTTCCAGCTGTTGCCGAACTACAAGTCCCATGAGGCACTGCAAGATTGACAGTTACAAGACTACAAGTCCCATCATGCCTCTGCCTTTGGGACTCATGCTTGTAACTGTCAATCCTGCAATGCCTCATGGGACTTGTAGTTTGGCAACAGCTGGAGGACTGACCGTTTGACACATCTGGCCTAGAACTTTGATTTCTGACTTGTTCTCAATGTGGATTGCGGCAGCAGTATTGTCTAGGGATGGGGGTGGGGAGCTGGGCCATCACCATCTTGCTCTGACTTTTGTGGTTTTTGTTTTTTTTTTTTCCAGCCCTCTGCTTAAAAAAAAAAAAAAAAAAAAAAATGTTCATAGAAAATTTCAAAATTTGTTTTACATTTTTTTTTGTTCTCTCGGTGAATCACAAATCGGAAAACATTTCTGTCCTGTAAAGTGTATTTATTTAAGAAATAAAACTGAAAATGTCGGTGTGTCTCTGTTCCTGCAATCTGTGCGCACATTACCGCCCCCTATAGGGCACCTATGGCAGCGCATCCCACGCGTCTATACGGAATGCTGAACGCTGCATCTCGCACGGGGCTGCTGAATATTATTATTATACAGGATTTATATAGCGCCAATGGGTATGCTCAGCGCTGTACATTAGAGTGGGGGACAGAACATGAGACAATACAGCAACAGACAATACACGAGGGGTGCGAGGGCCCTGATCCTTGGAGCTTACAATCTAGGAGGGAGGGGGTAGAGGTACAGGAGGAAGTGGCTGTGGGGGATGGAGTGGTAGGAGGAGTGGAGGAGATCGGCTGTTAGGTGAGGGTGGGGTAGGCTTCCCTAAAGAGGTGGGTTTTCAGGGTGCGCCTAAAGGTGAGGAGGGAAGGTGACAGTCTGATGGATTGGGGTAGTGAGTTCCAGAGGATGGAGAAGTCCTGCAGTCGGGCGTGAGAGCTGGAGACCAGGGAGCTAAAGAGTAGGAGGTCCTGTGAGGAGCGAAGATTACGGGTTGGGTGGTATTTGGGTATCAGGTTGGTGAGGTAGTTTGGGGCGGCGTTATGAATGGCTTTGTAGGTCAGGGTTAGTAGTTTGAATTTGATGCGTTGGGCAATCGGGAGCCAGTGGAGGGAATGACGGGGGTGGAGCCAGTGGAGGGAATGACAGAGGGGGGTGGAGCCAGTGGGGGGAATGACAGAGGGGGGTGGCAGAAGTGGAGCGGTTGGTGAGGTGGATGAGTCTTGCCGCTGAGTTCAGGATAGACTGAAGCGGGGATAGTCTGTGATGAGGTAGGCCGGTGAGGAGGGAGTTGCGGTAGTCCAGGCGTGAGATGATGGAGTGAATGAGTAGTTTAGTGGTGTCTGGGGTGAGGAACGAACGGATCTTGGAGATGTTGCGGAGGCGGAGCCTGCATGAGTTTGCCAGCGATTGGACATGAGGTTGGAGTCTAGAGTGACACCTAGGACTTTGGCTTGCAGGGTGGGACTGATGGTGGCGTTGTTGGTCGTGATGGAGAGGATGGGGGGGGGGGGGGGGCAGGCTGGGGGGAAAATTAGGAGCTCGGTTTTGGAAAGGTTCAGTTTGAGGAAGTGGAGCGACATCTAGTCTGTCGTTCAGTAGGTGTGTGATTCGGGCGGAGAATGATGGGGTGAGGCGAGGGGCAGAGAGATAGATTTGTGTGTCATCGGCGTAGAGGGGATAGTTGAAGCCGTGGGAGTGTTTAAGTTTGCCGAGGGAGGAGGTGTAGATGGAGTAGAGAAGGGGCCCGAGGAGAGAGCTTTGGGGGACCCCAACAGAGAGGGGGAGGTGGCAGTGTTATAGGTAACTATCCCATTTCATGGGGTCACAGCTGCATTTTGGTTGGCCTCAAAGGGCTTGGTTGTATCTGTGAGACTAGATGGCCAAAGACACCCCAACCCCCACCAGCACCACCACCACCCTCCCTCCCTTACATCACAGTGCACCCATCTTAGTTGGGGGTGCAGCTGGGAAGCAGAAAGCGTAGGGGCTGGAGGAGGGCTGGAGTCGGGGTGCTGCAGCTGCACAGAGAGATGCAGGATCTGTAGGAGGAGATTTGTCATCCTCTCTTCTGCCAACTGTTGAGGGGGACAGAGACGAGTCTCGCTGTGGCTGCCTAGAGAAGTGCAGCATCTTGTGGAGGAGTTCTGTCCAAATGCTCAGAAAAGAGAGGGGGGTGCCGCAGCTGGCGGAGAGACGCGAGGGCCACATGAAATGTGTTTTGCTGTGAGCTTGGAGGGGGGATTCTTTGAGGTGCATACACGTTCATTCAGATCAATCAGTGAATTTTACAAAAGGAAGCGCTCTTTAAAAATCATACATTTTTATTTTGTATACTTAAAAAACAAAACAAAAAAAAGCCAAAAACCCCGTATTTCTTAAAGGAGGAGTATGGGACACGCTGAATAATATAACAATTACATAATCTTGAATCTGCTTTTTCGTTTGTTTTTTTTTGTTTTTGCTTTTTGTTTTTTTTTTTTGTGTTCTTTCCACCCTCCTTTTGTTCTAGCAGAGAGGCACCTCATCTGTCATGTAGGTCCTTGTAAACGGACTATTTGCTGTTTTTTTTTTTTTTGGAAGTTTAGGTTGGTTACAATTTCAGCAATCCACCCTCTCTTGCTGTACCTCATTCCACTGGTAAGTGTGGCCACGCCTACTGAACAGACACCACCTGAGCAGTATACAAGTTCAGGCACTGTGCTATTGATTGACAGGCAAGTGGAAAATACATTAGTGGCATGGACGTGGCTTGATCCGGGGGGAAGGCTGAAACTCCCCAACCCCTCCAGATTTCAGGATGCAGTGACCCTTGAGCTCCTTCTCACATCCCCATACAGTACAGTCTGAGGACAGGCAGAACAGCTCCTCTCTCCCACCTTCCCACACACAGCTCAGATCCATTCTATTACAGACTTTTTGTCTTCACACTGTGTAGCTGCCTGTTATGCTGCAGTTCTCACCTATGAAGTTTCCAGAAAAAATGGCTGTGCAGCATAGAATCCAGCTACACAGTGTGCAGATAGAGGCTGGCTGTAAGAAAATCTGATCGATGCTGAGGAGGAGGAGAGGGGAAGATGTGCTGTGTGAAGCCTTGGGAGTGAGCAGACATTACAGAGCTGACATCAAACAAAAAGTGACTGGTTCATTGAAGGACACGGCTTTTACTGATGGCGGATGAGTTTGATGTAGCCACTTACAGGAGCAGGATGCTAGGTGCAACCTAAATTAAAAGCACACCGTACCCCCATCTGCAGTACAAGAATCAGTATTTCTAGTGTCCTCAGGAGTGTAGGATCTGCTCCTTTTTTTTTTTTTTTTTTGTCTCTCCGTGCTTTGGCCTTCTTTGGCATTGCATGGGCCCTATATACTGTTATTTGCAGCTTTGCGGTGGCCCCCTTTTCGTGGACAGTGAGAAGAATGTCCCTTACATTGGTGATCAGTGAGAAGAATGTCCCTTACATTGGTGGTCAGTGGGAAGAATGTCCCTTACATTGATGATCGGTAGGAAGAATGTCCCTTACATTGGTGGTCAGTGGGAAGAATGTCCCTTACATTGATGATCGGTAGGAAGAATGTCCCTTACATTGGTGGTCGGTGGGAAGAATGTCCCTTACATTGGGGGTCGGTGGGAAGAATGTCCCTTACATTGGGGGTCGGTGGGAGAATGTCCCTTACATTGGGGGTCGGTGGGAAGAATGTCCCTTACATTGGGGGTCGGTGGGAAGAATGTCCCTTACATTGGGGGTCGGTGGGAAGAATGTCCCTTACATTGATCGGTAGGAAGAATGTCCCTTACATTGGGGGTCGGTGGGAAGAATGTCCCTTACATTGGGGGTCAGTGGGAAGAATGTCCCTTACATTGATGATCGGTAGGAAGAATGTCCCTTACATTGGGGGTCGGTGGGAAGAATGTCCCTTACATTGGTGGTCAGTGGGAAGAATGTCCCTTACATTGATCGGTAGGAAGAATGTCCCTTACATTGATGATCGGTGGGAAGAATGTCCCTTACATTGGGGGTCGGTGGGAAGAATGTCCCTTACGTTGATGATCAGTGGGGAGAATGTCCCTTACGTTGATGGTCGGGGGGAAGAATGCTCCTTACGTTGGTGGTCGGGGGGAAGAATGTCCCTTACGTTGGGGGTCGGGGGGAAGAATGCTCCTTACGTTGGTGGTCGGGGGGAAGAATGCCCCTTACGTTGGGGGTCGGGGGGAAGAATGTTCCTTACGTTGGAGGTCGGTGGGAAGAATGTCTCCTTGAGTTGAATGCCACTCTTACATTTGTGGTCAGTGGAGAGAATTGTTCTTACAGATACTTAAGAAGATCATTAGTGTTGGTGGTTATTCTTCTGAGAGGCAGAAATTGTTGCTTTCTAAAGGGACTCCTATCAATGCCAGAAGAACGCTGAGGTTTCAACCGTAGGACACATGCTAGAGAATGTCTGCTCAATTCTAATGCCTCTGAATATTTTGTTCTCCATGTACCTAAGAATTGAGCCGTCTTTTAGCTCCGGCGCCGCTCCTCACCAAACCTTTCTAGCTTGTAATGGCTGTTCCTCCTATAATGGCTGTTCCTCCTCCTATAATGGTGACGATTCCTCTTCAGGAACAGAAAGTGACCGGTGACATTCCCTACCTGGGTTGCAGATGGAAACAAAAGACATGGCCGGACTCAACTGTTCCCTAATAAAAGTTTTGACTAGAGTTGTTTTCTTTCTGAAACTTTGTGACGTGTTGTGTATGAGGCGTATCCTGTGAGTTTGATGAGAGGCTCCTCCCCTGCAGAGCAGAGGCGATAGGTTGTCCCTCTAGACGCAGAAGAAGACAACTTTGAGTACCTCTCATGGCACTGCTTGAGAAGAAACTGGTCGTTATAGAGAGACCTGAGTTGCTGACCATCTTTTCCTGAAACAACATCTTGCACGGCTGTCGGGTGGAACGTCTGCTTTCAGTAGCCCAGATAAGGACTTCTGCCTCTTCTGTGCCTTTCCTGATCCACACACGTGTTCCATGATGGTGAGTTGGGTTCTCTCAGCAGGGGGATGGTGGGGGGTGAAGGTGTTGTCTGGTGCCTGAGTCCACTGCACTTGTCATTAAACTATTTTCAGAGGGGTGCATTTCCTGGATTGGTTTTCCTGGGTTGGCAGCTCTTGCAGGTTTAGATTTACTAAAGATCGGAACCAAAGGTCCAATGAGCTTCGTGCATCCAAATCAATAAAAATGATACAGTTGTGTGGAAGTGAAAGCGTCTTTACAGAGCCCAGGAGAGGGTGGTATCCAAGGGCCCCCATGGTCAGTGGCAGGGCTATGTGTAAGAAGGGAGCTCCCAATTGCATCCCCCCTGTGTGAAGGGGACTCACCCGCCGGATGTTGGAATATGGTGGCATCCTCATGGCTCAAAGTAATGGGTTTTGGGGACTCTTCCTCTTTGTCAAGCCCGAATGTCACATGAAGGACAGAGATTTATATGGTCGCTGGTGACAATCAGGTGCTCACATGTCAGTGTGTGTATAAAAGTGTTAGACGGGTGTGAAGAAATGCTGCAAAATAAGAATGTTTTCAGAAATACCATATATTTTGCTCTATAAGACGCACCTAGGTTTTAGAGGAGGAAAACCAGAAAAAAATATTCTGAACTAGACTGCAGACACACTACAGGAGCTGACCAGAGACTGCGGCCACAGTAGAGGAGATGACCGGAGACTGCGGCCACAGTAGAGGAGATGACCGGAGACTGCGGCCACAGTAGAGGAGATGACCGGAGACTGCGGCCACAGTAGAGGAGATGACCGGAGACTGCGGACGTAGTACGGGAGATGACCGGAGACTGCGGACGTAGTACGGGGGATGACCGGAGACTGCGGACGTAGCACGAGGGATGACCGGAGCCTGCGGACGTAGCACGGGAGATGACCGGAGACTGCCGACGTAGCACGGGAGATGACCGGAGACTGCGGACGTAGCACGGGGGATGACCGCAGCCTGCGGACGTAGCACGGGGGATGACCGGAGACTGCGGACGTAGCACGGGGGATGACCGGAGACTGCGGACGTAGCACGAGGGATGACCGGAGCCTGCGGACGTAGCACGGGAGATGACCGGAGACTGCCGACGTAGCACGGGAGATGACCGGAGCCTGCGGACGTAGCACGGGAGATGACCGGAGACTGCGGACGTAGCACGGGAGATGACCGGAGACTGCGGACGTAGCACGGGAGATGACCGGAGACTGCGGACGTAGCACGGGAGATGACCGGAGACTGCGGACGTAGCACGGGGGATGACCGGAGACTGCGGACATAGCACGTGGGATGACCGGAGCCTGCGGACATACTACGGGAGATGACCGGAGACTGCGGACACAGTACAGGGGATGACCGGAGACAGGTACCCGCTCCCACTTCCTCCCTCCCCCTCTTCTGGGACACGTGACAGGTCCCAGAAGACTGCCGGACCATTCACAAAGTGCAGTGCTTCTCGCGCATGCGCAGTGGGCACCTGGCTGTGAAGCCACAAGCACACTAAAGATGCCGGGGAGAGAAGTCGGTGAGGACACTGCTGGACCGAGGAACAGGTAAGGTTCTGCTACAGAGAAGAGCCGAGTGGCTGGACCGGTATTCTGACACGGCGGGAATACCGGACCGGCTGCTGCACATTCGCTCCATAAGACGCACAGACATTTTCCTCCGTGTTTTGGGGAGAAAAAAGTGTGTCTGATGGAGCGAAACATACCCTATATATTTTTTTTATTTTTATCAATTTGCGCAATGTGGTGTGAGTGCACAGAAGAAAAAAATCTAATTCAGATCAATATTTGGTGTGACTATCCTTTTGGCTTCAAACCAGCACTGATTCCTACACTAGGTAGGGATTTTGTGGGATTAGACTCAGGTCTATGGTTAACCAATTATACCAAGCAGGTGCTAATGATCATCAATTTCATATGTCGGTTGAAACAATCATTAACTGAAACACAAACAGCTGAGTAGGAGGCATAAAACTGGGGGAGGAACAGCCAAACTCTGCTACCAAGGTGAGATTGTGGAAGACAGTTTGATGTCACAGGTTATACACCATGGCAAGACTGAGCCCAGCATAAAAGTGGGGGAGGAACAGACAAACTCTGCTACTAAGATGAGGTTGTGGAAGACTGGATGATGTCATAGGCCATGGCAAGACTGAGCAAAGCATAAAAGTGGGGGAGGAACAGATAAACTCTGCTACTAAGATGAGGTTGTGGAAGACTGGATGATGTCATAGGCCATGGCAAGACTGAGCACAGCATAAAACTGTGGGAGGAACAGACAAACTCTGCTACTATGGTGAGGTTGTGGAAGACTGGATGATGTCATAGGCCATGGCAAGACTGAGCATAGCATAAAAGTGGGGGAGGAAACAGACAAACTCTGCTACTAAGATGAGGTTGTGGAAGACTGGATGATGTCATAGGCCATGGCAAGACTGAGCACAGCATAAAACTGGGGGAGGAACAGCCAAACTCTGCTACTATGGTGAGGTTGTGGAAGACAGTTTGATGTCACAGCTCATACACCATAGCAGATTGAGTACAGAAACAAAACACAAGGTAGTTGTACTGCATCAGCAAGGTCTCTCCCAGCAAAGATTTCAAAAACTTGGGTTTCAAGAAGTGCTGTTTAAGCTCTTTTGAAGAAGCACAAAGAAAACAAATTAAAAAAAATCCCAATACGTGTGAATTAATTGGTTGACGTGCAAGTTATAGCATCTACAAATGGCCATATATAGACTGGGATTTTTTTTTTCAATAGTAATGGCGGCAATCAGCGACTTATAACGGGACTGCGGCGGGCATTCTGACATTGGGGGGGGGAACTGATGTGGTTCACTGACACCTCCAGTGCCACCAATACAGTAATCAGTGCAAAAAAAAAAAGCACTGACACGGCACTAATGGCACTGGGCAGGAAGGGGTTAACATGGGGTGGCGATCAAAGGGTTAACTCTGTGCTGTTTTACATACTGGGCTGTGTTTGTGCTTCACTGTACGCATGCTGCTATGCAGAGCCACACAAAGCAGGGTGCAGGAGCTGACAGGGAGGAGAAATTGTTTGTTTACAAACAGTCCTCCTCCCCGTCGGAGATCCTCGGCCATCACCAGGCTCGGCGAGTAATCACCGGCTGGGACCCCGTGACTTGACAGCCGCGGGCACCTGCCCCCCTGCCCAGAAATGCAAAATCATGTATATATGTGATTTTGCGCACCCGGGCCGCCCTGTAGCAGTATTTCCACTATAAGGCGGTCGGGAAAGCGGTTAATCGATAAAAAAAAATAAACTGTTAACACTTCGATTTCTGGAAACGTTCTTCATTTACAGCATTTCTTCACACCTGCCTAAGTCTTTTCCACAGTACTGCCTGCGCTAAATATATAAAAGGGTGCGTACCGGAGGAGAAATACGCGGCTAAAAGGAGGAGGAGATTCGTCAACAGCAAGAGATGTGACACAAGAAATCCCTTTACAAATAAACTTAAAAAAAGGGGGGGGAGGGGGGGGGGACACTGAGATGACTGATGGATGTAGAATAAATCAAATGGGATAATAATATAAAGACTTCTAAACCTGAATGGAAGAGCGTCCTGACTGATCGTCCCCCGCGCGGATAAAGGAGAACCAGGACTGTGCGAGTTATGGTAGTGATGGCTAGCTAGTCCGCTAGTAATGTACAGCGCTGAGCGAACTATTGGCGCTTTATAAATACTGTATAATAATAATAATATAATAACTAAAAACCACCATATATAAATAAATAGAAGAGATTGTGAATGAGAAGCAACAAGTGAGTGAAGGAGAGGAGAGAGAAAGGAAATGAGAGAGGAGAGAGAGAAGGAGATGAGAGAGGAGAGGAGAGAGAAGGAAATGAGAGAGGAGAGAGAGAAGGAGATGAGAGAGGAGAGGAGAGAGAAGGAAATGAGAGAGGAGAGAGAGAAGAGAGATGAGAGAGGAGAGGAGAGAGAAGGAAATGAGAGACGAGAGAGAGAAGGAGACGAGCGAAGGAGAGGAGAGAGAAGGAGACGAGGAGAGAGAAGGAGAGGAGGAGACAAGAGAAGGAGAGGAGAGAGAAGGAGACGAGAAGAGAGAGAAGGAGAGGAGAGAGAAGGAGATGAGAGGAGAGAGAAGGAGACGAGAGGAGAGAGAAGGAGAGGA